GCCTAGTCTACAGGAGACCCTGGCTCAATCCTAGACCCTGGCTTGAAAAATATTTTTACAACATTATTTTTTACATTTATGTTAATAACACTGTTAACAAATTACATTTATATAAATGGTTAACAGAAAGTTGAAGAGGTCACTCTATAATAATGAGCTTATTGAAAACATACTTATGCAGGGCCGGGGATTTAGCTCAGTGGCCTTGAAAGCACAAGGTCCCAAGTTCGATCCCGGGTACCAAAAAACAACAACAACAACAAAAAGCATACTTATGCAATACGTATTACATTTTCTGGAAATAAAGTGGAAAACAGTAAGTGAGGTTCAGAATTTATACAAATAAAGCATTGGTTGTAAGATAATGTATGTGTAAACTGATGGAAGAACTACACAAATCTTACAGAGCCTAAATACTCCCATTGCACGTGGAGTACGCATAACTTCAAAAACCCCACATAGTTATGCAGAATATTCTGTAGGTTTCCCTAATTTTGGAATTCTGAATATTATAAGCTAATAAAGTTACTGTGGGACCAGTATTTATCACCACAAAAAACCAAAGCCAAAGAAGCATTTTATGTCATTTTGTCTAAAATCATCAAACAGACAATTGCATTTTAACTTTCATCCTTCAACTTACAAGAACACTAAGCAGCAAAATAGTCAAGAATATGATTCTATTAATATCAGTTCACAGGATGTTAACAATTACTTCTGAAGTAATTACTGAAGTTTCTCATCCAAAACTTGTATCTTCTTTAAGAATTTATTATATATGCTGGGGATTTAGCTCAGTGGTTCCGCCACCAGCCTTGCAAGCACAAGGTCCCAAGTTCAATCCCCAGTTCCAAAAGAAAAAAAAGAATTTATTATATAAAATATGTCTACTAAAAACCACTTTGTGCCACAATCCCCAAAAGAATAGGAATTCTCCATTTCTTAAGCAATTAAAAGATGTAGAGAACTTTAGATTAAACCAGATGAGTAAAACATAGCACTACATTTTCACTCTAAGTAGCCACTGATTAAATAACTGATCTCACTTATTGATCACCAACCAAGCGTTATCTAATCCGAATATCTCTACAAGTATTATTCCTATTGTAGAAGATACAACCCAGAGTAATTTGCCCAAGGCTAACTGAGCAAGTTAAGACCCAGTGCTAAAAGAGGAACTGAGGTCAGTTTAATTAGCATTATGGCCCCTGATCTGCACCCAAAATCGAAATCAACTATTTTTAAAAATATAGACAGACAGTAAGTTGTTGGTTCAAACTTAACATTACATAAATGTTAACTGTATACAGCATCACAATTCCAAAACAATAAACAATAAAACAAGGCATCTTCTAGATTCTTGGTATAAGGTTGTGTTAAAGCCAACTAATTTCTCTTTTTACAGTCAGAAATACAGAAAACGATATTAGAATTTATCAGGTACACTTGGGAAATGTTTTAAGACTTTAACTGCAAAAGACATTTTTAAAGTTTTTGTATTTTTTTTCTCCTTTGAAATGCTATTTGGGGAGTCGGAGAAGATGCATGCATGGTTTCAGGACTTCTAAGAAAGAGGACCCTCTTAAAACACTGAAGGGAGCTGACATGGGTTCTAAGAAAAGATAATCTTCCTCTCAGAAAGGGATCAAGCTAAAAACCTCACCGTCCTGGGCCGGAGGATTGCAATAAGCAGGCAACAAATGAAATGAGGAAAAGCTGAATAAACTACCAGAGCTCTCCTGGAGAGGTGAATATTCTTGTCTCTGCCCCACCCAGGCTGAAGGCTTATTTCAGGAATGGATCCCCCGTGCTGGATGGAAGTACATGGCAGAAAGTTGCTTCTTTGGTCCCAGATGTGTAAAGGGGAACATTTTCAAGCATGTGAAATCAACTAAAGCAACCCAGGTGGGTAGATCCCAACCAGATGAATTAGGGAAGAGCAAGGAAAATCAGACTTATGAGGTTGAACTGGGAAAATGAATGTGACTCCCTAGTCTCTTCTAAAACCTCTGTAAGTACATTTTCTCCCTCCTAACCTAACGAGACAGACACAGTGGACATCTGCTGTTAGGGAAACACCAATGTGGTCGACAGGGAAAGAATCGATTTCATTCATTTTCTGTCTTCACAGGTCACTTCAGGGAAAAGTCTTCATTTTCTTTCTTCAAAGGGCAAACAGAAGAGAGAGAGTGAAAAGAAAGGCCAAGGCCTCTCTAGTCCACAAAAATTAAGAGGGGAAAAAAAAGCTCTGCCCAATAAAATTCAAAACCATAAGCTCCCCTAACTTAAAACAAGAGCCTTGCTTCGTCAAAAGCACCCTGGGACTAGTACAGATTAGCACTGAGTTGGGTCACCCTGGCTGTGATAATGATGTATTAAAACAGGAAGAGGTGACCTTTTGATTTCTGGCTACAGCTTCCCACCCATCCTGACCTGGGTGGAAAGCTGCGGTCACGACAGCTTGACAGGAAGATCCTCCCTGTATTTGCGGAGTAGCTTCTGATGGTTGTAGTCCACCGACCACTGCTGGGGCAGGTGCTTGGGCTGCATGGAGTCCAGGAAGTGCTGACGCCAGCGGCTCTCCAGCTGCATGAGGGAGCACAGCCCACCGCGGGCATGACACTGCACCACCTTCAGCCCGTGGGGAGTGTAGCTTTCATTGGAAATCCTGCCAAGACAGCAAGTGCAAAGGATGTGAGGGCAACAAGCACAAGATATTCTCCCAGACAGCCTGAATGCTGCAGGCCAAGGACATATGGGGAAGTGGCTAGACTCCTAAAGGGCTAGTTACTTGAATGTTTTCAAGACATCCTCTTTCTCATCTCTGCTTTTCTTCTTATTACTACTTTTTCGTGGTACTTAGGATTGAACCCAGTGAGTTTACACTGAGCTACATCCCCCAGTTCTTTTTATTCTTTGAGAGAGGGTCTTACTAAGTTATCCAGGTGGGAATTAACTTGTAGTCTCTTATGATTCTCCTGTCTCAGCCTCCCAAGTCCTGGGATTACAATCATACACCAATGTGCCCAGCTCTGCCTTTTTTTTCTCTTCTTTTTTTTTTTTTGTACCAGGGATCAAACTCAGGACCTTGGACTTTCGAGGTAGGCACAGTGCCACTGAGCTAAATCCCTGGCCTCTGCCCTTCTTTTTAATGGTTTGGATATACAGTTCATAATCCACAGAAGGCATCTGGGAGCTTTGAGCTATACTTAGAGGAAGGCCATTGTATAATGTTCTGCCCCACTAGGATGGCTCTACTGGCTGGTTGATGATGAGTGCAGAGTTTGGTCTTTTATTTAATTCAAAATTACTCAGCAACCAGCTCACTCTTCTTTTATTTTAAACCCTTCCCAGTATTGAAGGGAGGCTGTGAAATTATCCTGTAATCCTAGCTACTCAGGAGGCTGAGGCAGGAAGATCATAAGTTCAAGGCCATCTGGGCTACAAAGCAAGACCTTGTCTCATTCATAAATAAATAGATAAATAAATAAATATTAAAAGGGCTGAGAATGCAGCTCAGTAACCCTAACTCGCAAATGCAAGATGGTATTCCTTAGTGCTTTCTTTCCCACAACAAGAATGCCAGAGCTCATGGACAAGAAGTGTTTCAGTCAGACTGAAACACTTTTCTGGCCACCTACCAAATGGTGCTGCTGAAGAGGAGATGGAGCCCTGCTCCTTCCTAACAGGCAGAGAGCCTTGAAAACTGCTCTGACACCATGAGAAGGGTTCTCCCTCCTGAGAAGAATGACGACCTTTCTCAAGGAAGCACTCTGTACCCCCAGCCTCTCCCTCTACCCACAATTCATTCTCAGTTCTCCCTCCTACGACCCCTTTGGTCTAGCGATGTTGGTGCTCTCTCGGTATCTGCAGATAGTTTATTATTTAACTCAGAGCCCTGTCTCCAAATACTGTTCTTCTCAGCATCTGTCTATCCAATTCAGCAAGATGCAGACCTTCATCAGAAAGGTCTAGGCGTGGCTGAAGGAGCAGGGCTGTTTTAGAAATTTCATTTGGGAATTAGTTGATGGGGCCAGTCTCACTGATTTGTAATATGACCTTAGCAACTTACTTACCTTTAAGCTTGAGATATCTAACATAAAATTTGGAAAACCACTTATTCTATAAATACACAGAACAGTTATGGGGATAAAATTCAACTATGATTTTTTGAAACTTTAAAAGATTTTTTAAAATGCAAGACATAATATTAGCAGTTACCAATAAGAAATCTAAATCCTATCAAGTTATTACAAGAAATAAGGCCATTTATGTAGTTTATTAGCTTGGTGGTACACAGCACAGTACATCTATAAATACTGTATCTGTTCAGTAAATATTTACAATATCTGTGATAGATCAGCAGCATGCATGAAATAAATACTTGTGTTTGAATAAATCTTTTGCTGCTATAAAGTTTTTATTTTTTTATTGATAATAAAACAGTACAGAAAACTAGCATCACTATCAGGTTTTATGGACCTCTACTCCTAAAAAGTGAAGCAACACTATGTATACAGTAGCTCAAAGTTCTTTTGTCATCTGAGCCAGGCACCCATTCATTTCTCAGGACCATAAACTTCTCATTTAAGAACACTGAGTTATGTCACATTAATTTAATTATCCACTTATAGGGAAGGCAGGAGAAGGTAGGAAAGAAGGTAAAAGGGGGAAAGTAACTGGTAAGACAGTAATTCTGCTCAACATTCCATTCAATGGGCCAATACCTTGGAGTGCAGATGAGATAAGAAATGGAACTCTGGTCGAAGTTCTCATCAAGCTATATAGAAGGCCAGGGACACAAAAATCACATATACTGTACTTCACGGCAACTTCAGAGATTTCAGGTTACTACTAAACAATGTTTTTTATCTTATGTGTTGATTTCAGGATCTACTCCTGCACAGAACTCATAGGATGCAATTCTGCATTTTGACTCCCACGCTAATCATGAAATGACTGGACTTAAATACATGATCTTAAAGGGTCAAAGGACAGACACCCCATGAAAGGCAAACCTCCTGTGGAGATGAAATTCTCAGATACATCATTCTATTCCACTCCCATGGTGTCTTAAACCACTAGATGCCTCGTGGGCTAAGCATTCGGATGGCACTGCCCCTGCCCTGACAAGCATTCTCACAAAGTAGCGAGGGTTAGTGTCACTGGAGTGTTCCCCAATCCGTGTTCTGACAAGAACTGCATGCTGTACCTGGTCTCCAGGCTGGCAGCCTCTTGAAGCATCTCATCTGTGATAGAATCTCTGTTGTAAAACTCTCTGAGTGCTTGCAGCAGCTCCTCCTTCCGAGAGGCAGGCAGGCTCACTGCGTTAAGCAGGGCCCTAGCCCCAGAGCGCACCTGCCGGCGCTCAGGATCTTCCAGCAGGCGCAAGCCCTCCTCAGAGCTAATGGGGGCCTGGAATTCCTTGGCCAGCTGCTGCTTCAGATGGCTGTCATAGTAGTTGGAGATGGCATGGCAGGAAGTGCAGAGAAGCAGCACATCATGGGAGTTGTGGTCCTTCATTTCAATGGGGAAGTGCTTCCGGTATTCGTGTGGAATCACATTCTTCCTGGAATGAGCCCACCCAGAGAGCATGCTTGTTAGCAGAGGACACAGAACACACATGAAGCCAGAAGGTGCGAGTCTAGCCTGGACTTAAACATGACTGAGAAGCCTTGAGTACCACAACCCAACAGAAAGTATATGAAGGCAATACTACTCCACTCTAGCCCTACCTATGCCTTGCATTCCTCCCTACCTACCTGTGTGCTTCAGAGTTCTCAATCCTTGGAGACAGACCACCTGTTTCAGTGGAGGGCCAGGGCAGGGAAAGGTTAATAACCACCTTTGAGACTGCCACACTCCCAAATGGAGAAGTCTCAGAGAGATGAAAAGATGCTCTAACAGCCTCTGACATCTGGAAAACTCTCTCAAGCCTGATGACCTGAACAAGCCAATCTTTCATCTGAGGAATCCCTTACTCTGCCATTATTTCCCTGGTTCACCTAGGTCCATCATTATTTTTAAAGGAGAAATAAGCTCTCAGGTAAAACTCTTAGAGACAACTATTCGTTTCATTTTGCAAGAGGAGAAATGAGGAGAGGGAATTACTGCACAGAGGCCAGGGAGGAAGCTTGAGGGTAGGCCCTCAGGGCCAGTGGGCAGCCTTGCCCTCATTGTGTGGGGACTTGAACATGAAAGAGCAGTCTTCAAGTCATCTGGAAGTTCCATGATGAGGCTTGGAGAGCTTCAGAGCTTCAAAGGAGGGTTATCAGGACACAGCTTCTAGAGAAAGTGGTCTTCAGTCCTTTGTGAGCAGAAGGGAGCCACTTTCTCCATGGCAGACTGTTACTGAGAATAGTGCTGCAACCCAGAGAAGAACTGGCTCAGGATGGATAAGGGCCACTGGAGAAGGCCAGGCAGAGTGTCGAAGCTCTTGGAGAAATGGGGATGCCCCCAGAGCTGAGCCTCTCAGCCAGAGTAGACAGACTCAGAGGGCTCTCCATGGGGCTACGAAGGCCATTCCATCCAAAATGCTACACTCACCGAATGCAGGAGTCTGTCTTGCCGCACACCACACACACGTTCTTCTTAACTAACAGGCAATAGCCTCCTGGGGACTCAGGTCTCCCCGCAGGTTCAAACTGTAGCTTGACCACAAAAGGGTCTTCACTCACCAGCTCTTAGAGAAAAGAAGCAATGTCAGTATTGGATTGTCCCTTCCCCTTTACTCAGGAAAGCAAATTCTTGAGTGCTCCCCATTGTTGGCAGAGAACACTATTTCTGGGGTACAGCTAGCCAGTCGTCTCAGGGTCTCAGGGTCTCCTTACTTCCTCTATGCATCCTTTCCCCCCACTCCCGCCAGATCCCATATGCACCTAATTATGATAAGCCATGAAAGCAGAATCTCACACCTCCAATGCCTTTGTCCAAGTACCACTGAGCTTTCCTTCGATCACAGGTGCAGAGAGGCTGTCCGTCAGGAGCATGGAGAAAGCAGTTATCATAAAGAGGTGACTTTCTGCAGGGAAAGGAGAGAGATCTCATACTAAAAGCTAACTGTTGGTCAGGAACCTGCTACCTTCCCATGCTCTCTTCTGAAAGACTCAAACTACACTCAACATCAGGGGTAGAAACACCCAGTATATAAACAAATAGAACAAGAAGCCATGTTCAGTTGGGTCAAGAAGGAGAACTACAAGCGAATTTGTTGATGTCTCTTGTTTTTACACTAGGGACTGGGACATGAGTAAGCTCTGGTGTGAGAGCAAACAGGAACAGAGCAACAAGAAAAATACCAAATGACTGGATTAAGCAAAGTAAGTTAAAATTTTAAAAGTTCAAGCTAACACAATGAGGGCCATGCGGATTTATTTCTTGCTCACATGTAATAGTTCCTCCAATTTAATTAGCCAACTACTAAAAGTATTTTTTTGTAGGGATCAAACTTCTGCTCCAATGTATTTATTAGTCATATCATCCTACAACAGAGGTACAATTATACAGGAAATTGCTCATTGCCTAGAAGGTAATGGCTTAGAGCTGTCATTCTAAACCATCAAATACCAAATGAGCAAGAAACTTCATGATGCATTTCTCCTGAAAAGCATAAGACACTGCATGCTACTCATTTTCACAACCATCCTAAACAAATAAGGAATAATAATAGCACCATTTTTAGAAGAAATTATAAATCAAAGGTCACTGTGGGCTCAGTGACAAAACTAGACTAGACTTGCCTCATTTCCACTCCAATTGTTAACAAATAGAAAAGCAAAAAGAAAAATATACAAATAAAGCAAAGACTGGTCCAAAAGTCCCAGCAGGCAAGGAAGGCGAGCCTCTGCTTCCTGATCCAAGCCACTGCCCAGACCCACAGGAAAGCATCACATCCTCTGTAGTGTCCCTAACTCTCCCAGCCAGGGAACAACTCGGTTACCTGGCAGAATAGCCCACCCCCAGGGGCTTCCTTTTATTTTTCCTGGGGTCTCTCCCTTGGTGGTTGCCTGGTACAATTCCACTGCTCTTATACTTCTTATTTCTTGGCTTCTGCTGAGATTCTGTTGCCTCCCCATTAACTTCTTCTCCCAATCTGCTAATTCCTTTGCTTCGGAATGGGATGTCTACAACATCCTGGCATTTCTCCCAGACTTTTCTCCAGCCAATAGGGTCACTGCTTGCTTCCGCAGAATTCTTAGAGAAAGGGTGTCCAAGAAGATGGAGGAAGAGAGCCACTGAAATCTGGGCATCCCTGGCAGCATAAGTCACCTGAAGAGAAAGTAAGACGTCAGTGGAATCTAGAAAGTGAGCCAAAAAACAACTTCAAAGTCAATCACAATGAGTTAGACAATTTTTAGGATCTTAATTCAAAATATGTAATAACCTAGACACCATATACTTCTTAAAAACATTTTATCATGTAAAATTTCAAACTATAAATAGTATAATGAACTTTCATGTTCCTTCTGTGTTTAGCTAAAATAATCATTTACTCTACACTGGAAAATCTTAATCTATACAGAACAGTGCAGTTTCTTTCTATTTGCTATCAAACTGATAGATTTTTCTAAAGTTTGGGAGGAGGGGAGTTAAGTCTAACAATGAACATGTACGATTCACTTTGGTGACAGTTATCCTATAGAAGAGCTAGAATCATGATTCATTAAGAGGGTATGTGACTCAACTGGAATAACCTGCAAAGCCTGTTAATAAGATGCTAAAGGGGCCGGGGATTTAGCTCAGTGGTTTCGCTGCCTGCTGCGCAAGTGCAAGGACCCGAGTTCGATCCCCGGTACCAAAAAAAAAAAAGATGCTAAAAACAAGAGAAACAAATAGGTTTTGTCAAGGGCTTCAAGTCAAAAGTCACAGGGCCCATTCCTGAATTTATTTATTTATGTAATAATGGTACGTCAACTCTCCTAACCAACTGATAACATGCAAGCAGGACATAAAGGAAAGTAGTCAAGTCAGGCATGGTGGTAGATTCCTGTAATTCCAGCACTCAGGAGGCTGAGGCAGGAAGACTGCCATGAATTCAAGGCCAGCCTGGGCTATATACTGAGTTCAAGGCTGGCCTGAATTACATAGTGAGACTGTCAAAAAAAACAAAAACAAAAACTAAACAGTACTCAAAACTAAAATTAGTAGCTCTTCTCAACAAAGAGTATAAGGACTTTAAAACTGCTTTAATTTGCCTTCAATCACCAAGCGAGATAAATAATTCTATTGGTAAGGATGTTTTATGTCTGCAAAATAAAACACGTTTGGGTACAATTTTCCACTTAGATCAACAATCTACATACCCCTGAATTCGATCCCTGGTACCAAAAAAACACCTTAACCTTGGGCTAGGCATTGACCAATTTAAAATATAGGCAAAAGCCGGGTATTTAGCTCAGTGGTACTGTGCCTGCCTTGTAAGCACAGGGTCCTCAGTTCAATCCCCGGTACCGCAAAATAAATAAATAAATAAAATATATGCAAAAACTGCAAGAGGAAACCACCAACAGAGCTAAGAGACAACCTACAGTGTGGGAAAAAATTTTTACCAGCTGTTCCTCAGACAAAAGGTCTACTATCTAGAATATATAAAGTACTTTAAAACATCAGACCAGAGCACAGTGGGGGAGGCTTCTAGGTCCATGTGCCACCTCTGCCAGTGCAGAGTGGGGGGCTTCCGGGCCAATGTACCACCACTCCAGGCAAAGAGGAGGGGGCTTCTGGTCGATGTGCCACCACTCCCAGTGCAGAGTGGGGGGCTTCAGGGCCGACGTGCCACTGTTCCCAGTGCAGAGGAGGCGAGCTGCATGGGCTCCAGCACACCTCTTCTCCCTCGTCAAAATGAGAAGACACGTAAAGAAGTCTCAAAACCAGACTTCCAGATCACCTAAAGCAACCCCAAAGGGAAACGAGATGGAACACTCTGATACTCAACCACCTGGACTCCCTGAA